ACTTAAAAAACAGAGAAGCAAAACGAATTAGTAAGACAAAAATTGATTTTTAATACCTTTTCATTTTTTAGAACCAATTCAATCGAGAAAGTAGTGTCTGAATTGTAACGATCTGGTACTTCCCACAGACGAACAACCCGAACTTTAAACTTCTATTGCATTTTGGAAATTGTATATCCTTGATGAAATCATGTGAGTAGCCATAATTTGCAGAAGCCCTATGTTTTGTTGAATTTTTTATATTCGTTTGTCTTTGATAGACTACCAGGGAAATTAATAGAAGTTGGCATATTCAGTTTTGAATAGTTCTTGGCATATTCAGTTTTGAAAAGTTCCATATGGTCACCAATAGTGCGTAGGTTTAGATATAGGTTTAGACAAAATCTGAAATTTAGGAATAGTGGGATATAAACGTGTGTATTCACGTTCACATAAGTTACCTGATAAAAAATAAAAATAAAAACATGATATTTTTAGTTCAGAAAAGTTGAATTGTTGGAGATTTTTTCCCCAAATTAAACAGAGGTCTAAAAATTGAGCCCTTCTGAAACGTGCACATAAATAGCTGAATAAGCTTTAAGATGCTTTTGACCGTTTTCTTCTTAAAAAATAAAAATAAACTTATATTTCTAATTCACAAAAGTGTTTTGTATTAGATTTTTTTTCCAAATAATATTTTAGTTCCTATTTTGTTGGACCTATGTCCTAAAGTGCCAAATGTCTTATTGTGATGATGCCATTTGTCAAAAGTGGTGGCTTTTGCCTCTCCTTTTATATATTAATAGATAATAATTTGAGTAATTCATTAATATTCATAAATAATTATTTAATTAATTCTCCTCTAATTTAGGAAGCTATTTAAGTATTCTCCTATTATTAACAGTCTAGGAAAGTTAATAAAATTTCGCCTAAATTTTTTCCTATTCGTTCTACTCACTACGTTTGAGTAGTTAATACCTTTAAGGTTTTGAGACCTTTTTGTAGTTAAAAAAATTCTTCCTAGCCTAAGTTTTCGCCCCTACATGCAACTCCCTATGATGGGGTATTAAATGTGTTTATTTTGTAGTCAATATCTTTTAAGTTTAGGAGATCTCTTTGATTTTTTTTTTGATTTTTTTTTTGATTTTTTTTTTTTGCCTTAAATCTCACGCTCAAATTTTTTTTTTGATTAGGAGTCTTTATTATATGGTAAAATTTACAGTATGTGTGTTGCTTGTGTACCTAATCTCAATATGTAAATATACTTACNAAATCTGAAATTTTTTCAGAAATATATCCATACACATCTTGTAGAACCAATTCAATCAAGAAAGTAATATTAAAATGTATGAAGAACAGAAGTAAGACAAAAAAAGTAATTTTTGATACCTTTTAATGTTGTACAACCAATTCAATCCAGATTTGCAACTTAAAAAACAGAGAAGCAAAACGAATTAGTAAGACAAAAAATTGATTTTTAATACCTTTTCATTTTTTAGAACCAATTCAATCGAGAAAGTAGTGTCTGAATTGTAACGATCTGGTACTTCCCACAGACGAACAACCCGAACTTTAAACTTCTATTGCATTTTGGAAATTGTATATCCTTGATGAAATCATGTGAGTAGCCATAATTTGCAGAAGCCCTATGTTTTGTTGAATTTTTTATATTCGTTTGTCTTTGATAGACTACCAGGGAAATTAATAGAAGTTGGCATATTCAGTTTTGAATAGTTCTTGGCATATTCAGTTTTGAAAAGTTCCATATGGTCACCAATAGTGCGTATTTAGATATAGGTTTAGACAAAATCTGAAATTTAGGAATAGTGGGATATAAACGTGTGTATTCACGTTCACATCAGTTACCTGTTAAAAAATAAAAATAAAAACATGATATTTTTAGTTCAGAAAAGTTGAATTGTTGGAGATTTTTTCCCCAAATTAAACAGAGGTCTAAAAATTGAGCCCTTCTGAAACGTGCACATAAATAGCTGAATAAGCTTTAAGATGCTTTTGACCGTTTACTTCTTAAAAAATAAAAATAAACTTATATTTCTAATTCACAAAAGTGTTTTGTATTAGATTTTTTTTCCAAATAATATTTTAGTTCCTATTTTGTTGGACCTATGTCCTAAAGTGCCAAATGTCTTATTGTGATGATGCCATTTGTTAAAAGTGGTGGCTTTTGCCTCTCCTTTTATATATTAATAGATTATATATATATATTTAATTATATATCTAAATGACTTGGACTTTAAATAAAGGTTTTAGTTTTGTATTTATTTTTTGGAGCAGTTTCTGATTATTTAAATTCGAATTTAAATTTCAATTTAAATAGAACAGACATAACTGTTCGTATAGGAGTGTGACTTTTCTGAAAAGTCTTCTCTTGAATTCTATAAATACAAGGAGACTCCAGGAGCAACGATATTCAATTTGCAAGTGTAATTCTAGCTTTGTTGTATCCTGACGGAGAATTGCTTGTAATCCCCTAAAGAATATACGGGCAATATCTCTTGAAAGATAGAGATCTTTCACGCCTCAAAGCTATACTTCTCTTTTAATCTTCTGTAATTTTTCTTACAAATACATAATTTGAACCAAAGCTACTGGGTTCGGCCGAACCCGTGGCTCTGCCTCTGCACGTCATAACATATTTGCACCATGCACAAGGACGGGAAATCAGTGTCTACAACCATGTCTATGAATTAGCAACAAGTTCTTATTTCTGGATAGCTATCATGAATTAAACTTCAATTTCAAACTTTTCATTCCGATATTTGTGGATCAGAAACAAAAAAGCAGAAAGATTGGTGAGTTCTTGATCCACCAACGTTGGCTCACTTACCAAGCTATACTACTTTGAAAGACCAAGTTCACCTAAGTCAAGCACAAACTTCACAGTAGGAATATGGCATACCATACATAAAGCAAGTTAGAAATGAAAACAAAATCAAAAATCATAACATATGCGAATATCACCATAACACACCTTGTGTACAGCCCTTGCTCCACACTCATAAGCACATACACTCTCTGTTTGCTCAAAAGTTATCGTATGCTTTATGAGTGCAAACCAATACAAATAAGTTACGGGAAAATCATAGCAAATCGTAATAATCCATTGGACCAAGCGAAGAACATGAAAATAAGTACTCAAGGTTAGGAGAAGAAATCTTAACAGCTTTTATTGACAATATTGGTTTGGTCTGCCTCTCCATGAAGAGGTTCAGAGCCTTACAATGGTGTTTTCTCTTCCCATAAGATGGGTATATTTTTCTCTTCTCAATCTCTTTTGTGAATGGTGGTGAAGAAGCAGCCCCCCATCTAGGGCTTCCGCTCTTAGTATTTATAGATGTGAGCTTCATGAGCTGGCAATAAATGGCCGTGGCCACGCTGAGGTTCCGTCCCCATGGGGGAATGACTGGGCTGTGCCCTCGTAGATTAAATCGGACAAGAGTCGAATCCTGTCATGAATAAGTGGCCATACCACTTATTAATTATGGATTAGCTCAAGACGAGATTAACTCCGTTAATTACCGTGAGATCGGATTCTGGCCCATACACTCTCATCATCTCATGTATGCAAGAAGAGGGAATCTCCCCTTCATTCGAGGCAGGGGCGGATGCACCATACAATTACTGGGTTCAACTGAACCCACTACTTTCAATGTGGAGTATAAATTTATGTGTAATAATTCACTAAAACTGCAATAAAATAGTAGATATGAACCCACAAGTTTAAATGCTGAACCCATAGAACTAAAATCCTAGATCCGCCTCTGATACGAGGGGATATTCAAGTGGAATTATCGACTCCACCTATATCTATTTTACTTTGCGTGAGTGTTACAAAGTATTGCAAAAGTAAAAGCGCACACACTAATAGGCCCCTCAGCTTAGTGAGCAATTCAAATTCATTTAAACGACAACGTATTATCGTGCCATGCAATGACAGTGCGGAGATCAATGCTCTACTTGTACACATGATTGAGAAAGAAACTATACTTTCATCCAGAACGTTCTAGGTACGATTATTAGCGACTCACAACTATTTTAAGCGACTAACATACATAAGCTGAATTGAATGAAATCTAGTTATGCCAATGATATTTTTTTTTTTGAAAAACTTAAAAATTATTCTTTCTTATTTTTTGGTCGAAAATTTGTTTGCAAAACTTAAAATTTGCAAAAAAATTACTTTTATGACTTAAAATAAACAAGGAAAATTACCAGGTATGTCCATTTATAAGTAGCTCATTACAAAAATTGGCCAATTGATAAAATATTACTAATATTAGCTAAATTAGCCAATTAGTTATTTGTAGCAAAAAATATCAAATTTTTGCTTTGTTTTGAGTTTGGTGTTATTAGAATAGATTAGGCACAACTTAAGGAGCTTGAATCTCATTTTTGGGATGGTTTGGTGAAGTTTTGAGGTGGTTTGAATTGAAAATTCGAAGTAAAAGCTGAACATGAAAAAAAATGATATGTGTATCATTTGTTTATCAAATATGTATCATATTTGTATCAATTGTGTATCACGTGTATATCCATGTATACCTGTGTGTGAGATACATGCGTGATACATGTGTCGCAGAAGACTTTTTTGAACTCGATTTAATTAAGAATTTTGATACAAAACTAGTCCAAATCACCTCCAATCTTCCTCAAATTTTGTATATTGACTTATCTATATATTTTCAATGAATTTCAACTATACCCATTGAAAAAGTTCCTGTTTTGTTTAGATTTTTGGAATATTGTATAGATTTTTATATTTCATCACCTTATTTGCTACCCCGTCCATGAAATTTCCTTTCCGTCTTGTATCTAATGTTGCTAATCACGCTTAAAAATATGAAAGGTGATTTTTGCATGTGATTCTTTGATAGAAAGAACCCTATTATTTGGGTTTTCAATTTTTGTTGGCTAGTTTTGGTAAATTTATGACTAATGGCTAGAGGTTGGTAAGTTGAGATTTATATGGGACATTTGTGTAAGTTTCCCAATAAACAAAAATGAGGGCCCATTTAAATGAAAGGAGTGAGACCCACATGACTCAAAGCCCAATATCATTCTAGGTTAGACAAGCCCAAATCCAACCTAGCCGTTTGGTGGGACGTGCAATGGAGAATGGCGGTCGAATTTCGGACCCAAATTCCGATTGGCCTGCTAAGACGAATTGAAATTGAGTCGTCGATTTCTTCGGCCAAATTCCATTGAATGACCACCACTCTTCCTCTTCCTCACCTCCATCTCCTCCTTTGTCATCCTCGGGATCTCTTTCTCCGGCCAAATTCATCTCTGTACGTTACACATCCCCTTTCTCTCTCCTCATATATATTTCTCCAATTTTGTCTTTCGTGAAACAAAAACCCTAATTCCCCTTTTTTTCCAGTAATTATTAAGGTAAAAATGAGAATAAGAGTTGTGAATTGGTTGTAATGATTTATCTCCTAGCTCCCTACTGCTTAATAAAAGCTAAAGTTCCGATTTGTTATATACCTCTTTTATATTCTTCACTAGTTAATTTATAAACTTAATTTTTTTTACCTTACGATACTGCTTCTTGAGTTGTGATGGTCGTCCAATATGGATTTGAGTATTGCTTATCAGTTTCTGTTACATTTTCATTGGATAAAGGAGATTTTTTTTACAAAAATGAATGGATGATAGATGAACATGTTACTTAAAGAATTAAAATAGGTTGGTTGAAATAGAAAAGTGTTCCCAGACTGTTATGTGAGTTCTATAGAAGCTGTAAGATGGACAATGTTATGTGAGAGTGAATCTTGGACTTGGGCCTCTAAGGTCCAACCTATCTGCAAGATGGGTGTCGCGGAGATGCGAATGTTAAATGGAAGTGTGGTCATACAAGATTAGAGAAGATCAGAAATGATCTCATTCGATAAAAGGTGCAAGTAGAGCACATAAATGATAAAATGAAAGAGGGTTGATTAAGATGATTTTGTCATGTCTTATGTCGACTTCCAGATGTAGTTGTCTGTCACACCCATGATGATTGAAGGTGTTAAAAATGGAACAAGGTAGACCTAGAGTTACATTGAAAGAAGTCCCAAAAGACCCAAAATCTCTCGGAATCCATGTAGACCTGGTGAATAGTAAGGCATAATGGAAGGAAAAAACCTGTATAGATGATACTGGTTAGTTGGTTGCTAAATTTTAGTCATCGTGGTACGTTTTTTAGGTCTAATGTTTGCTAAGAGTCTTCTAGTGTTGTTAGAAATGTATATACCATTAGAAAATGTAGAGAGTTTTAGTGCTAGAGAACCTACTTTTTTTAATTTTGGATTGAGACTGATTGCATGCAGCGACATGAATAGTGAGGATTCACATAGCCAACCCCAATTAGCTTGGGATTTAGGTGTTGTTTTCTTGATGTGGCATACTTTTGAATAGTATAGCAGAAATGGATGTTAAGATACATGTGCAATTATACAAAGATTAGATAAGTTAGAAATGAACACATTCAACAAACAGTATAAATAGCATATATAGAGTAATAGAGGATAAAATGAGAAAAGGTTGCCAAAACAAGATGTGTATTGCTTGAGATCAGCAACACAAACATCTTGGAGCATGTCCTGATCTGCCGCTGAACGTCGGTCTATGCTAATGGCTAACAAGACGTGCAAAGTCTTCGATGAATACTGGGAATTGGCCTACAATATCGTCAACACCATACTTTGAACCATCTTAATTCCAAAGGAAGCCTGCATGGTGATGAGTACTAGTGTATTACTTCAAAAAGGAAGCAAGGAGAAGAAGTGATCGAGACTCAGAGTTTGTTAACTTTTCTTAGAAATGAGGGTGGCTCCATATAATCGATTCAAACTAGTTTGGATTGAGTCTTAGTTGTTGTATGCTTTTGAATAGTTTTTAGCTTGATAAATGGATGCTTACTTTGTCTAAAATATTTTTTTGAGTCTAATGATAGATAATTTCAACTTGAAGTTGAAGTTTTCTGGAGTAGTCATTTTATTGTCAATGCAAGGTCCTGCTAAATTCACTAATGGGCACTGTCAGAGCCCTGAAGATTGGGAAATTTGTTGATATTCTCGTCTTTTTATAAAATGTACAAATACTGTTCTTGGTTGTCACAAATTAATGGATGTTACTATTGGTTTTATGCAAAATTACTGATTATGTTCAAGTCCATTTAAGAATGGAGCAGTCGTTCACTCTCAACTTGTGAGTTTAATTGGGGAAAAGATGCTTGTCTTCTGATTGTAGTTGAAGTATATGGTTATCCATGCTTCTGTAACTGGTAATGGAGATCCATTATGCCTTTCTCATTACCAGTGCACATAATTTTGTTTTCCTGGTGCTGATTTGCATTGCTACTGATGGCAGTTGACCAAGCTGACACAAGGTGGAGAGCTTGCTGAGAAAGTTGCGGTATATAATTTGGCAAATAAAGAGGTGAGACTTCCATGAAGAACAGTACAAGTTCTGATTTGGACAGTGGTGATAAATATTTCAGTTACTATATCTATGTTTCTTGTTGCAGGTTGCAATAATTTGTAATCACCAGCGTAGTGTTTCAAAGTCGCATAGTGTACAAATTTCAAAGTTGAATGAGAAGATAGATGAATTAAAGGTGATTACTTTTTGTTATCAGTGGTTCATTGTCTGTAGACCATTTCTCTCTGATAAGTTACCTTATATAATGTGTAGTGGCTACCCCCCCTCCCCCCCCCCCCCCCCCCCTCCCAATAGAAGAGGATTGAATGTTAATTGATGATATTTTACCTGCAGTTCACTTGTAGCCAAGTAAAATTTGCATTTACTTTAGATCGTAATTGTCTTTTAGGCTCTTTTGCAAGAATTCAAAGTAGATTTGGCTCAGGCCAAAAAAGGGGAGCCTCCATTGAAGGGCGCTGATGGCAAGGCAAAGAGGAACTTGGCCCCTGAAGCGTACTATCCCTATCCTAAACTGTAGATTTTCTTCCATTCTTTGTTTTAGTTGCTGACTTTTAAGTGTAATGTTTGCAGATTACAGAAAAAGATAGATCAAACAAATGTGAAATAGAGAAGCAAATAGAAACGAAAGAAGAGTTGAAAACTGTGGCTTTGGGCACATCAAAAATCAACTATCTGGATCCTAGGATCACAGTGGCATGGTGTAAGCGCCATGAGGTTCCCATAGAAAAGGTAATGCCTTTTTTACAATGTCTTATGGAAACATGTACTTCCTTCCACGAATTTCATCTCTTACTGATAATTGACCTCGTGCATTGTGGTTTTCTTTTGATCCTTGTTTCTCCTGCAGATGTTCAAAAAGTCTCTTCTAGCAAAGTTTGCCTGGGCGATGGATGTTGAACCAAGCTTCACATTCTAAAGTTTTGGCGGCTGTGGTAGTATAGGACATATCTTTAAAACGAGTCTCCCTCCTCTTAATACCTGTTGTTCCATCCCCCTTCCCTCCCTTCTGAAAAGAGAATAGGAAAAAAATCTATTATTTTTTCACTTAAAAAGAAGAAAAAAAGAAGAGAAGAGATCTTATCGTTGTCTGACAATTTTTTAATTTGTTGACTGGCCCCTGACAAGTTCCTGTTGTATTTAAGCAACTTTTGAATTTATGGGGTGAGTTTTCCGTTGTTGCCTCTCTTTCTGATTTAAGTCCCATTTGTGAACTCTTACAAGATTCAGCTTTTGATCTAACTTGTTTTAAAATGATCAAGTGCCATGTTATTCTTCAGGAAGGAATACTTCAAGTTTCTGGATAAGGTGGTTCATCCATATTTAATGTTAACTGCTAAAGCCTAAACATCAACGAATAATTTCTGATAATATAAATTTGATTGCACCAATTCTACGAGCTAAATGCATTAATTTATTGGCATTCCGCATAATTCGCTTAGATTAAGCTCTTTCGACGTCCTCTTCACTTAAGTATTTGGGTTTGACTCTTCAAAATTCTCAAATGTAAAGCTTGCAGTCATATTTGTAGTCGCTTGAAATGTTATTTTTTTCCTATTATTGTATCTGCTGTCAAGTTAGGTATAAAAGCATGCCGTATGATACAGTAATACAAAGTGGGAGATTGGTTATTTCCATTAATATTTTTTGTATCAAAGATTGGGAATAATGCTCACATTTATGTAGGAGTGGTGATGTATCTAAGAAAAATGTCAAAGTGTCGAGCAAAAAAAGGGGGAAAAAGAGAAAATTAACACAAATAGCTGTCCATCCAACCAAGTAAATTTGTATCGAGCTTCCAAAACGATGTAACATGTTTAAATAAATCCCTAATCCTTCTATCTTAATTATGATGCCTATAGACGTTATGGTTGAGGTGTTCGTATATAAACAATAATGTTGGGAAAAAATATGAAAAATAATGTACGCAATCAACTTGTCGAACAAAATTTGGTTGGTGCAAATAGGATTTCATGCTAGTAGTCATGCATAAACATAAAAAGAAAAAAATGTCAAAATATATTCGAAACTATGTGAAAGTCTAAAAATGTTCTTCGTTAATAATTTAGGTCAATATTCTTCACTGTTACAAAATTGATCCAAAGTACTAACGATGAGCATATTTTAGACCATTTCACTTTTTGGCATAGTTAATGGATAAATATAATTCTTTCTCAACGTAGAATAAGAACAAAATACACATCCACTCCTTTAAGGGAGTATTTAGAATTTTTGAAAATAAATGGGGTCTCTCTACACTACTTAGGAACTTTCTGGAGTCAAGTGAAATTTCTCTTTTACATAGCCAATTGAAATGACTGGTTTACCCCGTTGAAAAACTAAAATTTGTGAATACTACCCCAATAATTTTGGTCACAGATTCATCCACAACAATTCTACTTCGGATCCAGCTTCTTCAACTTCTCTCTGTTTCTCTCATTAACTGTACGTATTTTCTGTATAGTTTCGCTATTTCTCAATCAATTTCTGCAGTATACATCAAATTCATATTATATGCCTGTTTCCAAATTGATTCTTTATTTTGAATTTTGGAATTTTGTAAATATTGATTAGTGTGCATTGTGCCCTTTTGATATATAAAATTACTAATAATAACTTGCAATTTACCAATAAAAAAGGGTTCTCTTTTTTGTGCTGTTGTTTGTTGAACTATAAAAATCCATTTTTTTTTGGTAATGCAGAGAATAAGAGGCATCTGAGAGATTATTTGGTTTAGATCCAAAGCGAAAATGGGATTTCTGGTAACAACTCTAATATTTGTCGCAATTGGAGTTATTGCATCTCTGTGCACCAGAATTTGCTGCAATAGAGGCCCTTCTACTAATCTGTATGTGTTTTTTGTTTCATTTATATCTTCCCAGTTAGATTTCTGCAATACTTTACTGTGATTGATTGTATTATGTGATGCAGGTTGCACCTAACATTGATTATCACGGCGACTGTGTGCTGTTGGATGATGTAAGTGTGGTATATAGTTGAAAATTTCTGTTTCAGCTGCAAAACAATATAGGGAGTAGATAACTATCGTTCTATGAAATTTTTATGCTTGAAGATATTTGGATGCCTTTAGGTAGAGTATGGAATTTTGAACATAACACCAAAAAAGTAGAGTTTTGAATTCGTCCTTTGACACTTGGGTGGATAAAGTAGACTGTTTAGTTGAGCCACAGCACGGACAGAAAGAAAGGGTCTATCTGAACCATTTATCTGTCATTACTGCTAAAAGCTTCCCAAATCTAGCAATCATCTCAAAGATGCTGAGGAAAGGTTAAAATAATAGAAGACTCTAGAAAGTAAGACTGCATGAAGCAGTGAAAAGGATCAATAAAACCTTTTTCAAGTTAAAAAAGTGATTTCCTTAATCACAAAATTTTCTTATGAAAAAAGTTTTAAAACTGATTTCTCTTAGCAATTTGCTGTAATATTTAAGGAGTAGAATCGGTAGACTAGGGGAGATCATCCTTGTTACCTAATAGACCACAAGTTTTTGAAGTACAAACCTGCACCAAATTTGAATTAACAACTTACATTTATGAAAATACCCATTTCTCAACTTCTATGGCATGAAAGACTCCACATAATTTGGTAGACTAATACAGAAAATTACTTGAAATTTTACTTTCAAATAGGAAAAGGCTGAATCAGGTCAAACTGCAAAACATAAAAAAAAAATAAAAAAAATCCCTCTGCCCTTATTTGACGTAATATGACTTTTATGGTCAAATTTCTGATATGATCAGGATGTTTCTACACATTGCGAAATATGATAGTGACTTTAGATAGGGTTTTTGATGTACTTAGATATTCACAAACGCGAATTTTAAATTCATTATCTTTAACTTTACTAATAATTTTGACATGAATCATATCCAAAGAGAATGACACAAGTTTTATTAGCAGTTGTCTGAGGGAATGGTTGAATAGTTGAGGTATAAGAGTAACAACTGGAGATTCCATATTCAATCTCAGTTGCAACATTCAGTATGATTCTATCTTTTTTAGCCTTGGTGACAGGGTTGCCGAACGTCTGTGCTTGTAGGCTGTAACATGCTGCTCAATGAATTAGTTGTGTGCAAATTGGATGGGCGCCATTGTCATAAAGAAAAGAACTTTAATTAGAAACTTAAAGAATTGAAAAGGCAATAAAGAAAAGTTTTCAAGTGATCCTAAAACTTTTAAAACACAATTTGAAGCTTCGGATGATAGGCTGAACAATTTTATGTGATTAGACACTTGAGTTTTAAGGTGATGGAATATCAGGAGCTGAAAACATTGAGTTTGCAGTCTTATTTTTAACTTTATTTACATTTAATCTCAGAACTCTTTCCCCTTGATAGTCTCCTTAGGCAGGAAGAATGGAATACAAATTGTGTGTTTAGAATATCGAATTCCATCTAATGAGAGGCTTTTGAACCAGATATATTAGTTTATTGCTAAATATGTGGTTTTGACTTTTGTCTCACTTTTCCCACCTCTGCCTTTAAGTTGATCAATCTCTTTTAAGTTTGAATCTTCTGAATACCTTGAATCCAACTTCTTTTTCCTCTTGCTTCTCTTCGATAACTTTTCTATTTGCTTCATCGATCTCTAACTTTGTGAGTAGTAATTTCCTTTCGCGAATACCACCGCTTCATCTTGTGAATGCTTTTAGGTATCTGAAGAATACCACTGTTGGAAAATATTAAGGTCTTCACTCTGATTGATTCATTTGTATTGGGAAAAAAACTGTCTGTCTATGAATATACTGTTAATCCTTCTGAAGGAAACCATCTTAAATGGTTTGGGAATCTTGTATTTTGGGGCTTTATATGTTAGTAGCCATGTGAATAATATGATAGTTCTTGAATCCTGAAGATAACTGGGACTCGTTAATATCTAGGAAGCCACTCTTTCGTGTCATTCCACGTAGTCATTGGTGGATCTTGAACTGCTTCGTGTTGCTCCTTGAAAGCCAACTCTTTCGTGTCATTCCACGTAGTCATTGGTGGATCTTGAACTGCTTCGGTGTTGCTCTTCGAGTGAGTTGTATCTTGATACTCATAGCCTGAGGGGATCATAGAACTCCTGGTGACAAGAAAGTTTGTCCAAGAGATTTGATATCCAATTTAGGATCTATCAGCCCCTCCTGATTTTTTCCATAAAAAACAATGATTATGTGTTGTGAAACTTGTAGACAAGGTTAGACTTGAGAAGAATGGATACATAATTGAGACTCTGATTCTGTTAAGGGGCTGTGATTACTGTCTGAACAGCTTGAAAAGAGTGAAACATGGAGTAGCCTAGAAATCCAAATTATAACTTTTCAAATTCCTAGTGCAGCATCCAGTCGGGGCTTTACCAGTGCTGTAATTGTCTTACCTCCAAATTTGGCCAACTCCTCAATCTAGAACTATAATGATATTATGATGCATCTTGACGGCCAGTTCTCCCATACTAAGCTCTGGCAGTTCTAGAGGTTTTTTCTTTTATTCGTGTGCTGCTTTTAACTGCTTCAACAAGGAATTCACGAACATACAGCAGTTTCTTATGCTGCCGAGTGCCGACAGAAATCTAAATCCTTGAGCTTGAGGATTTTGTGTCCAACTTGTGACAGGACTTCTGTTATTCCCTCGGGGAAGGACATAGTCCTGAAATTTTGCATTTATTTAGGTTTATCTACACAAGCGCTCGAACATACATATCTTATTTATATATTAGTGCTTTGAATGACATTCATATTTTGTTTTTTCAAAACTTATGAACATTTGTTTTCTTTTCTTCTTTCTTGAATAGGTGGGCGATTGTATATCTTGCACAGCTGAAACCACTCATTGTACCAGTTTTGAGCGAAGGAGAGTAAATACAGCATGCATGGAATTTTGGAGGGTGTTGATAGTTACTTGAGATTGCTGCACACCCCTAAGTATTCTTCTCTCAGGCTCTCTGTAAGCTTTTCATTTGGTGCAAATAACGTATAAGATTTATTTTGTATATTGTTCACCTCTTATAAAATGGTTCTTTGAGAACCACCATTATATCCTCTAGCCTATTCTGGTCTGAGGTTGAGGAATATGTATTTTTGATTGGACTTAGTGCTGGATCGAGGGTGATAAATAAACAAATGGTTGCATGCTTCTGCATTACCTTTTATTATGAGGTCTGGGTTTGTTGACATAATGCAATTACTCAAGGAAATTAGTAGTTCTACTTTATGTATAAACAAAGGTTTTAGATAGCGCTTCGATTAATTGCTGACTATTTTGGTATAATGATTTTCAGATATGTAAATAAAAACATTTAGTATCAAGTAGCAAATGGAACATCTGTGTAGAAAACAAATGGAATCAGCCACTGATACTTGCATTAGGGTAGACTACCTACACCACCCCTTTTGGGCCGCGGGCCCTTCCTTGGACTCTGCGTGAACCCAAGATGCTTCGTGCACCGGGTTACCTTTTATTACTGGTTTATTTGGACAAAAGATGAAAAGCTCCAGGTGCTTGACGTGCTCCTATTGATTCGAATATGGAGTTGCTTTTCTTCCTATCATTTTTCTCTTCCCTTTTTTTTTTTGGCAACTATTGTTACAGCAACAGAGTTGTAATTAACAATCTTACATAATGAGCAAGAACTTTTCTCTTAGGACTAATCTCCACATTGCATGTTTAATTCTTTTCATTTTAGAATTTTCCGAAGTTAACCACCCTGGCTGTGGGTGGACTAATCTGTTGAGCTAATTGGGAAAAAAAATACTGATTTAATTGCCAAAAATTTGAAGCAGAAAAAATAGTCATTGGATACATATGCTTGCCTCCTTCATCAGTATCAATGTATTTTTCCAATTATTAATCCCACTTATAATTGAAGATTACAAAAGTTCTCTTTTGAGCGACTTTGCCATGCATAGAGTTTTTTAAACTGCAACTCTTTAAAGAGTCTGTTTTTTTCCACTTTTTTCCGAAATTAGTGTTTGGCCATGAAGTTTTCGATTTTCACTTGAAGTTGAATTTCGAATTTTTTCAAAAATTTGAAAAACTCCAAAAAGTTATTTTTTTCAAAATTTTCACTTGGTACCTTTCACAAAAATTCAAAAACAACCTAAAATTATATTCATGTCCAAACACAATTATAATTTCAAATACCATTTTTATTTGAATTTTTTTTTTTTTTTACTTTTTTCCGAAATTTTACAATTCTTATGTCCAAACGCCCACTAAATGTGTAAAACTCGTATAAAGTTAAGGCAATAGTCAATACAAAAAATAAGCACACTCCTTGAAATTTTATTCTTGAATTTATATTACATACATAAGGAGTATCACATGGGGGGGGGGGGGGGGGGGTTGGGGGTGGAAGAGACATTATTCCGACATGTCTAGCAAATCTTAATTAGCTGCCACAACTCAAAACTCAACTGGCTTTTTTCACAGATGTGAGTGAACCAGAAGAGAAACTCACTGAATCATACCTTTGAAAAATATAAGCCACAATCAAAGAAGCAGTAAGAGTAACAACATCCTTAGCCGCACATTGTTTGTTTGATTCAGTTGGTCTCCCAGTCTGTGGTCCATTTGACCAAAACAAATAATTCAGCAATTCTTTCCCTTTTTCCTTTGTAAACCTTTCCAACACAAACTTTTCAGGATCATCAAACACCTTTGGATCTCTCATTACCAATGGCTGATATCCACAAAGAAGTTCACCTTTCTTGATTTCATATACTGAATCATGTGAACTTAGTTTAAAATCTTTTCTTGCTCTTGCATATTGACTTGGCACAGGTGGACTAAGTCTAAGTGTTTCATATACAAAAGATTGAACAAGTTCCATTTCTTTAACACTCTCAAAACTCAAATTTTCTGTCTTTAATCCAACTTTCTCTCTCACTTCATTTCTTAACTTCTCTTGTAATTCTGCATTTTTTTCATCTCCAAGATTTCCCAATAGGGTTGGCAAGAAAATAGAGAAACCACCAAAAGCATTGAACCCAAGAATGAACAAAAGGTTATGTATAGCTTCTTGTTCAGTAAGTCCAAACTCTGATTTTCCTCTATTTAAAACTTCCTTAGCTTCATTTTTGACAAATTGTATGAGTTTTTCATAACTACCTTTGACAAGGAAAAAAGGGTAATTAAAAGAGTGGACAAATATTTCTTCAAGGGGTTGAAGTAGACCAATACTAACAGTAGGTGCAAGTTGAATAGCTAGCCACGTGTCAAGCATTACGTAGCCAGAATTGGCTATTTCTGGTGAAGCTGATGGATTGGCTCCTAAGAGAGAGAGGGAGAAAAAGTTGAAGAGGAATTTTTGCATAGTAGGGAGAAGAGAAGCTGAGTTTGATTTTGAGATATCTGATTCAAAAGTTTCAAACATGGAGTTGAGCTCATTGACAAGTGTTGGCACCCATGTTTTTGAGCTTCTTTTTAGAATGTCCAATGAAAAGTTCTTTATCTGCAATTAAACAGTATAAAAAAATTGTTTAACTACCAATGCATAATGATAAATGTATCCTATAATTTTTGTTCTAAATCACCAAATTTTTTGTTATAGAAAATATACTTTTAGTATAAGTAAGAAATAAAAAGTCATCCCAATGTACAAAGCATCCCGCATTCACACAGGGTCGGGAGAGGGCTGCACCCCTAGGGGTATGATATAGACAACCTATCATAATGCAAGCATTAATGACAGCTTCTACGGCTCGAACCCATAACGTATAGGTCACATGGAAACAGTTTTATCGTTGCTCTAAGCAGTGACTTAACCCAGGATTTTATACAAGCGGGTTCAACTAAAAACAGTGGTAACTGACGATTGGGATTGTACCGGCAAGCGATTTGTCCGTCGCTTCTTTTTTGGGTTCATAATGCTACCTAAAATGAATAATTAAAAAAAAATGAGGTCCGAATTCTTTTTTTTGCCAGAAAATTGGACGAAACTTAAAACTTTTAACAAGAAATAATTGCTATAGCTAAAAATGTTAACAATTTATATATTTTACATTTTCGTTTAAACTTTAAATAAATTCTATTTACACAATTTAGAGTTTATTAGACTTTGATAAACTTAATTAACAAAGTTGTTAAATTACAAAAACAATAGAACAACAAAAAACTAAAGAGTTGTAACTAAAAATAAACTGGTAGATATTATAAGAGAAGATATATAGCTTATAAAGTGAACTAATAATCTACGTAACATCAATAAGACATTTAGGATAAACTAGTTTAATATGAACTAACAAATTAGAAATAATTTCAAGATTTGCAATTGCATATTTCATAAAAAATAATGTAAGATTTTACTTTATAATATTTTTTTTGAGACATTTGGAGTGAATGTTCCATATATAAAGAACTTCTACTAAGGCATTAGCCACATGAGACTTTAGTTATCCTTATCTTGTGATTGGTTTGGACTATTTAGAAGTTAAACCACTGCAAAACAAATCATGAATAAGTAGTAATTTTGTCCTTTCAAAACATTAGTCATAATCATTTTCTAGAAAAACATAAAGAAGAAAAATCTACTAGAGATTTGAGGAGATATTTTGAAACTAATATCTGTCATGTGTAAAATGTGGACACCTAGACTTTTATTGTTTCACTGAAATGCCAACTCCATTGTCATCTACTCTACACTAGACTACAAGACAAATTAGTGTCAAAATTTCAAGTTGATGCAGAATTGGATTGAGAAATTTACTTTATGTCTACTTAGAAATATATGTTTTATTCCTTTTTTCTAAAATATTTCTTCATAATTTTGAAAATTAAGAAGAGGAAAAAGGAGGAAGAGAATTTATCTTCGAAATCCCTTTTTTGTCAATAAAAATTTATCTACTAATTTTCATATATTTTATTCTTCCTATCCAACAAATAAAAATTAAAAGGGAAAGGGGAAAACAATACACACAAATAAAGGAACACGCTAAAACAAACACTTATTTCTTACTACTCCACTATAACACAATTATTTTTCATATATGATTAATTTAAATATTTCAAATTACTTTTAGTTATAAGCATATTTTTATACCGTATTTACATAGCTCCTAAATATACTTCATAGGTTTTATATTTAAAAAAAATTGATATCTAGATTCATACGTAAAATTTATGTACAAGAGGATATTTTCAAAGTGATGACTAATAAAATGTGGACAATTGGGCTCATCGAAATCTAAGTCAATTGTCATATCGTTCCTTTCATGTCTGATCTTTTCTATATAGGCATTATATATGTTTTGTATATATGTATATTCACTTTATTGAACTGCTGGTCCTTTCATAGTCTAGGACAAAATGCACATGTTCCAGTGGTCCTTTATCAACACTTATAAGTTTAAGACGAAAAAAAACAGTTCAGTGCATAAAGTATTCCGTATTTATGTAGGGTTTGGAGAAGGGTTGCACCTTAAGAAGGTGTGATGTATGCGACAAAACCTAATACAAAAATCGATGACTAATTTTACGGTTCGAACCCTTGACCTATAGGTCACACGAATAGTCTACTGTAAAATTAATTGACCATATGTGCGGTTGATTCTACTAAAAGCTTTAGATCTTTGGTTTGTCATAAGAACTTTGCAAGGCCAAGATATAGAGCCGGTTTGGATTGGCTTTAAAAAGTGATTTTTCAGCAGAAATAATTTTTAAGCCAAAAATTAATAAGTTTGAGTTGCCCAATTTTTAAAAGCTTATTTGACTAAGCTTAAAAGCCAATCTAAACACTCTCATAGTTACATTTTATATTTTTTGGGTTCTTGTAACTATCATTTGTGACCAAATCAGTGAAAATTAAAAACGCCCTTCCATTAATGTCAATAATATCGTGTTTGAGTAGGCTTATTAGATGAATAATTAGCTTATGAGCAGTTTCTATCTACACATTTGACAAATATAAAAAGTGTTTATAAACTGAAATTAACCAAAGCCATAAGGTAGCAGTTTGAAATTTTTTATTTTATTTTATACCTAACATTTTTATATAGAAACATTTATTAATGTTTCGGTGAGTGACCGAACTGTCGCCGTACCTACATGGACCAACTAACCTAAAGTTTAGGAAATACTATTTGTCGCAGCATATCTTAATCCTTAAATTTCATACTCCTATACCAAGATATAATTAACAATTCTGACCAATCATCTCCCTTTATCTACTCACTCCAATCC